ATTTCAGGTTTAAGACTCTTTGCAGCTACATGGCTGCCAAGAGTGCTGTTCTCATGTCAGAATATTCTCTGAGCACAATCCATGTTCTAGATTCTTAGAGAACTTATATGGCCCACATTACTGCAATATCAGAGCACTTCACAATCTTTAATGTATTTATCCTCACAACACTCCTGTGAGGTAGCGAAGTGCTATTATCCTTATTTTGGAACTGAGGCAGAGAAATTAAATTACTTATGGTAAAATAGGAAGTCTGTAGTGGAGCAGGGAAATGAACCAGAACTTGGAGACCCAGGTCTTCTGAGTCCCAAGTTATCACCTTAACCACTGGATCATCTTTCCTCATTACATTTCTCTCTCTCTAGCCTCTCCCTGTACTGACCATGTTGTCACTGGACAAGATTGAGACAGACATTAACCAGGGCCCTGGCTAATTACAGATATTTGAAGGAAATTAAAAGGCCTGGTTCTGGATCTTTATTAGGTGTTTCAGAATAAGTGGATCATAAAGAACAAGGCTGATCTAGCATTCTTACTCTGTGGCTATTCAAATAAGGAAAAGATTGACCGTCAACGATCAGAAGAACATTGTGAAAGGGAGTCACTGGGAATAAAAGTAATGTTGAGTGATGATTCTAAAAATACTGCAATAAGGGTGCTGTCTAAAGTATACCAGGAATGTCATATAGTCCATGTGGGAACAACTGACACCAAGAAAGACAGACTTGCTGTGACACTGCTTCACCTGAGGGATCTGGGAAGAGAAGTGAAGAGGGAAGTGCTTCTTGTGCAAGAAAAGAAAGGAGAGGAATGATCACTGAAGACCAGCTGCGTGCTGCTTTGGTAAAGAAGAGTCCATACATACAGCATCAGAACAACTTCTGTTTTGAAAAGCGGTTTGGATTAGATGTCTCCACTGAAATAGAAGAGGCACTCACCACCTAGGTTTAAAGATGGCAGGACTTGTTAAGTGGCCTTTAAACCGCGTATATAAAGAAAAAGGAAACTTTTGCCTAACTCAAAAGATCTGGTATGTATTTCCAACATACAAATAAAGCAGAAGATGGAACTGGTTCTTGAAACATCAGGAAGGAAAAGCTAAAATGTCTTTACACAAATGCAAGCTACATGAGAAAGTAGCCTTACTAGTGGACTGATATTATCCAGTGCATATAATGGAGATGGTGGGATGATTCTCATAGCTGAAATGTAAATAGAGATATATAAGAAAAGAAGAAGAGGTGGAAGAATAGTGCTACTGGTCAGAAATAATTATATTTGAAAAGTTGTGGCCAATTAGGGATGTATTGGAAGATGGAAGAAAAACAAAAAAACTTTAAAAAGGAAAGACTATTATCAATGATCTATATAACAGGGAGTGTCTAACACAATATTGAAATCTGCAGATGAAATTAAATTGGAAGGAGATGCAGATACCAATCAAGACTTGGGAATAATACTACAGCAGTGCCTAAAGAGATTAGAAACCTGGGCAGGAAATAATTAGGTGCAACTTCTAAAAATGAAAGGTAATTCATCTGGGGAAAAATAATAAAAAAACCCAACATAGTTGGGTGGGAGAAACCTGGGAAGCAACCATGTTGGAAGAGATCTTTAGGCAATAGTGTACAGCAAATTAGATATGAATCTACAATGCACCAAGCACTAAATGGCTGGTCCTGGGGATCTGGCCCATTAGCTCCATCAGGTAGCTCAGATGTGCATCTCAATCTATTATTATGGCTGAGAATTAGGGGAATAAACCCTGTTCACCTGTTCTGTATAAAACTCAGGTCATCATGGATGATGTGCACAAATTAATATTTTCTGAAACAAACATTATACTAGTGTAGTACAGTTAGAATGGATACATTTCAGGCTTACTTAAACTCGTCACTGGTTGCCGGTCAACAAAATTGCCTTGCATCACTTTTGACATTAATATGTTACCTCTTGTTTTGTTCTTTGTGTACATGTTAAATTACTTCCATATGTTTTCCATATTTAAACAAATACATCATAGGATTCTTATTGTCACTTTAAACTACTTGGCACTTAGGAGAAGGAGTACAATTTCTATATTTTTTTTATTGTATGAAACATTTTGTATTGTATGGTTTGAATGCTGCCCAAACTCTTTATTTGGCTTTGCAGGATTCAACTTTTTCTAACAGGAGGAAAGGGAGTTGCCAACATATGGGAGCTGGTACTGAGAACTGATGGAGCCTTTGCCGGAGTCACCATGGCATGGGTGTGCTGCTTCCAGTGGGAATATCTAGAAAAGGCTCAGATTTGCCACGGAGAACCAACAACAGGAGCCACCTCCACTACATGGAGATATCACCTCAGGAGAGAACCATTTCCACCAGAGGAAGAAGTTGAAGACGCCACTGCTACTGGAGGGAGCTACCAGAGGAGCGAGTATAGGGGTAAGAGTTACATCAGGGGAAGCAGACTTACCCAATGACTCTGAAGGGATGGGCAGAAAGAGGATGAAGTTGAGATTGGGGACAAAGCCCTGGAGCCATGAATGGCATAGGAGATTGGGGGAGAAAGATTGGCTGTAGCTCCATTTGGTTCCCAGCTCAGAAAAAGGTTGCTGAAGGAGGCAGAGGGAAGGAGGAGGCTGAGCCCTGTAAGATGCCTCAGGCAGCAGCCAAGCAGCTTAGAGGAGAAATGGAATATAGGAAGGGGTTGAGGAGAACTGATTTTGACTGTGGGCAAGAAAATGATCTTATTTGTCTGGGTGTGAGGGGATGTGACTGAATTTGTTGGAAACAAGATCAGTGAGCAAAAGGGAAGGGGAATTAATTTTGTGAGGGTGGGAAACTGAGGACAAAGATGATGGGAGAAGGGGGGAAAAGAAGAAGCCAGTGTGACTGAAAAGAAGCCAGTGTGACTGGGAGAGCTGGCTGTCTTTGAGAAAGCCTTCCTCATAAGAGGTGGCCCGCCCTCTGAAGAGGTTTGAGAACCACTGCTGTATTTTAATCACCCTGAAGTTCATAAAGTTAGGATTGGAGACTGAAAAGGAAAATTCAGATAGCAGCAGAGTCTAGCTTTGTTTCTAAAAGCCAAATCTGGTTTTGTGGATACTGACAATACTAATGGCCAAATTCTGTCAGCAGAAATGTATTTGATTGTAATTTTAAACTGCACTTGCAGTTTTTGTGGAGAGTAGAGAGGCCCAGATGGGATTCTGCAGGCCCAGGGATCTTTGGATTAAGCTGCAGTAAAGCATTCCTTCTAATTAAGTGTAATTCAGTATAATTAATCTGCCCAGAAACCATTTATTTACCATGCGATCTCAGGTTTCTCTGGAGAACAGTTTTACAGTGAACATGGCGCCTGCCTCTATCATATAAATCATCACACATTAATAAACCCAGTCTGCAAGTACAAAGGACTTCTCCCACACTTGTTCTAATCAAAACAGAGCTGCTGCCATATACACAATACATGCATGAATTCCAGCCTAAGAGACAATCCACACACAAAATTCTATGCACAGCCCATTTGTTAGCATCACCGATATTTCTCCATTCATAACCATTCTTGCTTTCCATTAATCAGAGGGTTGCTAGTCACACGTTCAAGCCAACCGCTCTCTAGATCTCGTAACCAGACATCCTGGATTCCCAGGTTTGCTCCCTTTGGAAGGACAGTCTTAGTGTCCTATGCTGTACAATGAAAGGAGTTTTCCCGCAAGTTCACTAAGACTCCATGAGGTTTGGTCCCTCGCACTTGCCTAGCTACTCTTTCCTGCCACACTCTTGTTGCTCTACTCTCCTGCACCTGGGAGACAGGGGGGCATGGAAGAAAAGGACAGAGGAGAGAAACAGGGATGAATAAATAAATAAAAAGGGAACATTAAAAAGAAGACAAAAGGAAAGAGAAACCTCAGGCCCTGGCCCTGTGTTGAGAACTGTGCGGGGCAACACATGAACATGTGCAGAGTCTCAGTGACTTCAGTGGAGCTTTGCTTGGGCCAGGGTTCTGCCTGTGCTCCCTGCATTGCAGAATCAGGTCCTGTTTTGTAGAATGAAGTGGAGGTGTTTGAAAAGACAGCTGGAAATAAGTTATTTTCTGTCAAAGATATTTTCTCTTCATTACAATTTTTAAAGTTCTATTTTTTTTTAAAGTTGGGTTTCCCATTAGAATTCAGAATCCCAAAGCCTTCAAAATTCCACTTGTATTAAGGGGAGTGAATAACATTGAGCTATAAAGACACTCCCTTCCTGCAGGAAAGATGGAACATTAAGGCTGCATGGCTGTAGATGGCAGACAGCTTGTAAAACAGGTCACATATTAACCTGCGAAATGGCTTGAATTCTTGAGAGACAGACTAAAACCCATCCTCTTGCTAAGCCCCCAGTCAAAAAAGTGAAGTGTAAAGCTTTAACGGCGCTGTCTGTGTTAGCTGAGCTTGGACAGATGTGCAATCAGGATGGCCAGAAATTGTGTCCCACCAACAAAACTCTTTCGCTAAGAAAGACCTACCAAAATAAAGGCAAGTACTGACCATATCCATTGATTTGGGATCTACTGTTCAAGACAAGTCTTCAGTTGTGCAACTGACAGTGTTTACTGCTATTCTCAGCTAGTTAAATTGGCATAGTTCTATTGACTTCAGGGGAACTTATGCTTATTTGCCCCAGCTGAAGACCTGATGTCTGAATGTCCAGCTAAAGCTAGAGCAGGGCAAATATATTAAAACAGTCAAAATATTTGTTGAAATAAAAAATTGAATGTGCTTTGCCTATGTTCAGGCATAATGTGTGTTCACTATCCATGAATATTCATGTACATGGGTTTAGTAGCAGGAATGTTTGTTGAAATAATGAACATGAAGGCATAATCTTAGACAGAAAAGGATGCATTGAAAAACATGACTATTTGCACCAGAACTGGATTCCAAAAGTGATGTTCATTCACTTAGGGAAGACTAAAAGCAGCAGGAACAGAAGCCCTGTGCTCACTGAGGAAAGAGTGTGAGCACTCACCACTCAAATGATATTCTTTCTTCCAGTGATGATAGACTGACAGATCTGTATTATGCTCAATATTCCAATCTTCTGCCATACTGACTCTTCTTCACTGACAGGGGCTTTCCAAGCCTAAAATAATCAATGATGAAAAGGCTAATTATTTCACCTTACTTGTCATACACACTTAAAAAAAATAAGCTCAAAAAGCTACCTTTTGTACAGATATTGTTTTCTGCTTGACATTTCACTGTATAATAAGGATTATGGTTAGTTCTGGGGAGTAAACACAAAGCTACAATATATGTAGCTATAAATGAGAAATCCCATTGTTTTTGGAAATTCTGTGGTTTTCTGCAAAAAGGGGAACTTAAATTATAGGCATATTATTGTGTGCGAACTCCAGTAAGCTCGCTTATAAGCATAAAAGTTACAGCTAACAGTTCCCATTACTTCCTCTCAAAATTCTACCAGAATCAAGCCAGTCAAAATTTGGATTCGGGGATGGGTGACAAACACAACACTTCTGAAAAGTATTAGAGCACGCAAAGAAAGTCAGAATCTAACCAGAGGATGATCAGTCACGATTTAAATCTACGTTTCGTGAGAGCTCTAGATGACTCAAACCCACTGAGCCTCTCTCTACCAGTAGCTTTGCTTGAACATACGAATAGCTTTTCAGCGGCTCTTGTGCTGAACTAGACTGGATAAAGGTTACTTACTGTTTTACACTTTAGATTGTGATTGGCAGCTTGGCAGGCTTTCAACATCAGCCTAGAAGCATTCAGCAATTAGACGCTGTATTGTATGATGGGGAATGTGCTGTGTGTACATAGAGTGTTCAGGCTGCATATCGTCCCCTGGCCAAGAATTAATGAGATTCTTTTCCCTTGTGGTTTTCACCAAGAGTAGAGACATCCTCGGCACTGCCTCCCATCGACCTCTCTCCTGAAACAAAATATTACATAACTGTAAACTGCAGCTCAGCAAACAGTCACGAAGGACCCCTTCTCTCTCTGACACTAACTACACACAAGTGCAATGGGTAATTTGATCATGAGAGAGTCCAGGAAATGTGCGGACATGCTCACATTGCTTGCAATGTTTTTTGCTGTTTTAATGTAAATGACATTGCTTTTGCTGACGCACAGGGTTGGTGGGTGGGCTTTTGTTTTTGTTTTACTTTCCAAAAAAAGAGGACAGTGGTGGCAACTGCTACTCCGTAGCCTGATCAAAAGCTAGTGAAAATAATAAAAGTGAGAGATAGAAAGGAATATCTCAGCTCCTTTGGCAGGCTCAAACACAAGTTGGGTTTTTGATCTTCTTTTGCTTTAGTTCAGGGGTTCTCAAACTGGGGGTTGGGACCCTTCAGGGGGTCACGAGCTGTTAACCTCCAACCCAAACCCCACTTTGCTTTCAGCATTTATAATGGTGTTAAATATATAAAAAGTGTTTTTAATTTATAAGGGGGGGGGTCGCACTCAGAGGCTTGCTATGTGAAAGGGGTCACCAGGAAAAAGTTTGAGAACCACTGCTGTAGTTTGTCTTCAAGTCACTGCAGACAGAACAAGATAAAGGCCCTGATGCTGCAAGTTATTTAAACACACACACCTACTTTTAGCGTACGTATAGCTCCATTGACTTCAACTTGCCCTCATCCCTGGGATTACTCACGTGATTAGCACATGCTGAATCAGGGCCAAAATGTGTAAAGTTAATTTCAAGTCTCTAGCATTAGAATGTATTAAACTCCATTATTCTTAAAAGCGTTACCTTGAGAGTGAAGTCTGAAGGGAGCGGAGCACAAACCCTCAGAGGATTTTTCAGATATCCTAAAAGGCTACTAGCAAGGTAAATGCATTAGGGGACCTCTTTTTACCTGCTTTGAGACTACAGCAAGGTCATCTTTCAGCACTGAATGGTTCATTCAGGGACCAGATTCACTTTATTTTGCAGGCAGAACATACAGACAACTAGAGCTGCAAAATACTAGGGAAGCAACAGGTTAGTAATGATTATTGATTGGAGTGACTGCACTGCTAGCATTTCCCATTGAAACCATTTACAACTGGCACCCTAAAAATTCTGAGCCCTTTGAGGCAGATTTTCATGTGCTCAGCAATCACTATTGGGGCCAGATTTTCAAAAGATCTTGAGGCCCATTTAGGCATCTAAATAAGAGTCAGATCTTCAAAAAGTGCTTTATTCAAACTGCTGAGCTCTTTTGAAAAATCTGGCACTTAGTGATGTCCTTTCTGCTGCAGGAAAGGAGAACCGAAGCTGACATATTCCCAGCTGCACTGGTATTTTATTATTATTGTATTAGCTAGTCTCCTAATGTTACTCTGGACTTGTTATGAGAAGAACAGAAGTGGTAACATTGCTGGAGCCTGCAATTCTGGTCCTTTAAAAACATAGCCAGTAGTTAGTTGGAGGATCCCTGGTACTTGTTTTGTTTTCAGGACACAAAGTTGCTTGAGAAGCTGAGGCTGTACACTGTATGAATGGATCTTAAATCAAGGACTGGGCTGAACAGTAGGACAATACACTACTACATCAAATGAAAAGGTGGACAATGTAGGTTGGAGTCATATGAACCTATAAGATATAGGTACAGAGGACTTTGATACACTGGATCAGGTCACAAATCCATTTTCTTTCATTCTGCCTCTAAAAGTGGCCAAATACTTAAAAATTCAGAGTAAGGCAAAAGTCCTCCATGCAATGAAAACAACAAGCATGCTCCAAGCTAAAAATGCAAGCAAGAAACATTATTCCTTCCCGATCACTGGGGCAGTCAGTTTATTTACTGAAGTACTATATTAGATTCTCCTCACCTGTATCATGTTGCTTGTTACATACTTCATTACTGGTCAAAATGATCAACTCCCTTTTAAAATTCAGCCACAGTACAATACAGCTACAGCAGATATGTATTTCTGATCTGACATATTCTAAATTCTCTCTCCTTTGCCTCTAATTTTTTTCAACTACTTAAAACTTACTAATTAGGTTCCTTTGTAAACTGTAATTTTGAATTAATTAAAAAATGTTATTTATATTACAGTAGTAACTGGAGGCCACAACGAGAGATCAGGACCCTATTGTGTTACTGTAGCGATGTGGGACTCACCCCTGCGGCGCCTCCTGCTGGTCGTCTCGGGAATTAGCTCTCCAGCCGTTGGAGCGCCCTCTGCAGGCGGGTGATCTACCTTACCGCTGGCCCTGTGTCCCTCCCAGGACTCAGGTGCCCCGTTATCTAGGATGCTGCCCCCTGGCAGTACACCCCTCAGTCTCGGGATCTTCCCTCCCCGGGGAACCCCCAAACCCCTATCCCCACCTCGCCTCAGTCTTGGCTACTGCCAGTCACCACTTAGCCCCCATTCACTGGGGAAGACTGCAGTGTATCAGCCACTCATCACAGACAAGGGGGGTTTGGACCTGCTGCCTCTGCCTTGCCTACCCGTGGGTTACCTCCTGCAACCCAAGTGCCCTGTAGGCCTTATCCTAGGGGCTGGGGCTTTCCTAGGTTGGAGTTCCCTGACTCCCTTGGCCTTTCCCCAGCCCTGCTCCACTCTAGGCACTAGATTAAGCTCCCTGCAGCCAGGCCCTTCTCTCTCTGAATGCAGTGAGAGACTGTTTGCTTGAGCTCCTGTTTGCTTGAGCTCCCTCCTTCCCCTCCCCGCCCCCCCCAAAGTTTGCTGAGTGTCTGAGGTGCACACGCACACAGAACAAAGTTTGAGACCTTCACTGCTGGAACTCTGACTAGGTCAAGGCTCAGTTCTGGATACATGGATGGGAGTGGAGGGGGAGGGAGAGAGAGAGAGTCTCTCTGTGTGTGGTCCTGAATAGAGACGGAAGAGTCAGGATTTAGAAGACAAGGGTTGAGATTTTCTTTCCTCTTCTCTGAAGAGGACATCCAAAGAAATAAAACACAAGAAATATATATAAATGCAACATTAACATTCATCACAATATAAATACCAGTCAGGAAATGCACAAGTTAAGGGCAAGCTTAATAAATTCCTATTGCCCTCATGTTTCTATTACTATGCAACTGAGACTGTTTAATGCAAAACTTTTATGTACAGCACATAAAATGTGGGCACTTTAACTTTTAATTCCTTGCTTATTAGAAAAAAAATAAAGGCAAACCCATCCCTGCTGGAATGGGAGGTGACAGCACACGCTGCTGTCTTAGGAATCGAATAACTCTTGAGACACCCCAGTCCACGAGGGTGGGCTGTGTCCCTATAACAAGTGATGAGCCAAGTCTGAAGCACAGACATCAGTGTCAATTATTCTATCTTGTCAGGAAGAAATAATGAGCGAATAACTCCTTGCTGCCTTCAACTGCCTCCCACCACCCCCACAGTTCTCCATCCATCATTGGGAGACTCCTCTTGACGACTCATTATGAAAGTACTGCCTTTCAGAATGGAATTTTCCACCTCTCTCCATCCCACCCACCCCTTGTACAACAGCTGTCTCATCTCACTACTAATCCTAATGTCATTGGCTCCAGGCATGTGCTAATAAGAAATGAATTACTCAGAGGAGGAGACAGCTCAAAAGACACATTAAAAACCCCCCCTCAAAACCACACATTTTCAGGGAAGGAGAGCACATGGGAAGGGGACTCTAAGCGTGTGAAAGAGGAGAGAGGAAGGTGCCAGGAACTGCAGTAAAATCAGAGTGAAAAGGTAGGGGAGCGCTGGGCAGACATTGGATTATTTAAGGGGTCAGTAGAGGAAATCTGTGGCAAGTTTTTAGTAGCGTATACACTTGCAGTGCAGACTAGCTGTGAGGAAGCAATGCAAGGTGGTCAAGAGAAATGAGAATGACCTGTGTAGATGAAGGAGACAGTGTTAGAATAGTTAGAACTCAGGCTTATTACAAGAGTTGGGCTCTACTCCCATCTCTGCCACTGACTTAGCTGTGTTACCAAGTCACTTCAGCTCTCTATGGCTCAATTTCCCCATGTGTGTGAAATGTGGATAACACTTATCTGCCTCTGTAAAGCACTTTGAAATTCATTGATGAAAAAGCACTAGATAAGTGCAAAGCATTATGGGTAAATCTAAAACACTGCTGTGGAGGAATTTCTAGAGACACAACACCCTTGACTGGTACGGGGTGCAACTCCTCACAATACCCTCCATTTGACTTGAAAGTTCTTAACCTTCTTTTCAAGAAAACTATTTGTTAGCTATATTACAGTAACGGCTACTAAAATCTCAATATTCCCTGCTCCAAATACCTGCAGAAACTACGGTATCTTCCTACATTTACAACAGGATCCATAATAGTACCTTAATCAATGCAGAGTTACAACTGCAGAATTTTAACTGGTTCTGCTGTAAAAATCTGTAGCGCTCAGAGTCAATAAGTTCCAACATGAACATTCAACTCCCATTTTCATTCAATGAACTGGGATTGCAGAAACAACTTTGCTTGAAGTAGAATTCTAAAATGCCAGAAACATAATGGGATCATTAAAGCTTTAGAGGATTAAGAGGGAGAGGTATTTAGAGTGGTGAACAGGGCTGGGGGCAGATCAAATTATGCAATGTAATGGCTGGAAATCTAAAACTTCTCAAATACCTTGCGAACACTAAAAGAATGTGTTCCTGAAGCCCCAGATAGTTATAAGTTTGTTATTTTAAGTAATAACAATTACACAGGATGATAAAACTTTCTTCTGCTACTTTTGTGTTCAGTGGTGCCAGAATTATGTATTTACCCCAGAAGCAAGATAAAATTCCCCTTAAAGAGATGCCTGAAAAGAGGTGTAACCATGACTCACTTTGGAGTCAGCTTGCTGTGATAATGCCAGGTGAATAAATATTAAGGACAAAAACCTGTCTTCAGACAGCTGATGGATGGAACATGTTGGGAATACCTGGAGAATGAGCAGGGATCCCAGCTCTGCTGTTCAAGCGCATTCATTTTGTATAATAACATGAGAGTAGGGAAGCTAAGAAAACCAGAATAGCATCTACAACTATAATAACTGCAACATGTCACATACTATTTTGTTTAAACAATAAGTACCAGAGAAATAAATCCAATTCTCAAAGTTTGGATACAGATCTCAACTTTCCCAAAGTTTACAAGGCATTCAGATCCTAAGTTTTGGTTCTGGTACATCTCTGGTAAAATACAAGATTTGCTCTACACCGACTCCTGATGTTGATATCGACATAAAGGTGAGGAGGGGAAAACAGATATGCACCAAAAATATGTAGCTTCCCACTTATTAGTTGTTGGTATCATAGTACCACCTACAGACCCCAGTTGAGATAAGGGCAACCTTGTGCTAGGTCCTGTACATATACCTGGTATGCATCTCTTTTCCCCAAATGAGCTTACAAAGGGAGAGAAAGGAAGTACTATTATCCCCATTTTATAGATGGGAAACTGAGGCAGTCTTTCATCAGAAAATGCCAGTTTGTCAAAATAATTCTCTGGTCCAGGATAGAATTTTTGGTCAAAACCAGAGAAACACCCACCCCACAATAGCCAATAAGCCACCCCACAATAGCCAATAGCCTGGTTAGGACACACACACAGACTATAGGAAACCCAGGTTCAAGTCCCTGCTGTCTGATTCAGAGCATAGACTTGAACTTGGGTCTCTGACATCCCAAGCAAGTGCCCTAACAACTGGGATACAGAGTCAGTTTCTCTCTCTTTCCTTTCGGAGCAGTTCCTCTTTATATAAATTATTAAATATTAATTGGGCTAGAAAAGTGAGTACCCTAACCACCAGGCTATTGAATAGTCTGGAGGGGGTGTCTCCCTCTCGTTTTTTCATGAAAACTTTCAAAAGGTCTCATTTTCATTCCACCACAGAACAAAAACAAATTCTGAAACCTCAAAATTTTTCATGAAACAGAAATCTTGTTTTCCAGCCAGCCTCACTAGCCAGAGAACTGGAGTCAAACCATATTGGCTAGAAACATATTTAAATGAGATTGTTGCTAGCAGGGCTCTAGCACAATTTCTGAGGCCATGTTATTTATGTATTAAGGAAAACCATGATAGTAAAACAATGCTATAGGCTAGCCTCCTATATAGTATGTAGTGTGTTTTTGAACATGGTTCCGACACAATTCTGAGACAAAAAATACAGTGTACTCTGGTTAGGGATGCCATGAGAGAACTCTGCTAGCCCTCTCCTGTGTTTCAAGAAGCTCAGAGCTAGCACAGTTCTGATCCCAATGTGGACAAGCTATGACAAACCACAGTTGCTCTTTAAGAGCATGATATACAGGAGCCATGCAAACTTTGAAAACATTCAGGTCTGCTTCTCATCTTCCACACATCACTTTCCTACAATGCAAACCACAAGGCTACTTTGAAGTCCCAAAAAAGATATTGGAAGGAAAATAGAACAAAAGGACAAAGTTTTTTAAAAATGTACAAAGACAATTTCTGCCTTGTAGATGGTTATTGGCAAAGCTATGATCTGATTTTATTACAGGAGAGCTAGAATGTAAAGTTTTGTATTTATTTTACAGCACGTGCTAATCTAAATCAATATTTGACATCACTGCCAGTATTTTAATCAATGCAAACTGCACCATATTTCATTATTGCTTAACTGTAGCAAGAGCTACATACAGTTTTTCATATATGCACCATAAAGATGACTGAAGGATTTAGCAAGTAGACATCTACAACTCCAAACTTCACCATTGGAGAGGGTTCAAAGAAAAGCAATGAGAATGATTAAAGGATTGGAAAACATGCCTTAAAAATGATATACTGAAGGAGCTCAATCTGTTTAGATGAACAAAAAGAAGGTTACGGGTTGACTTGATCACGGTTTATTGGTACTTACTTGGGGAACAAAAATAGAGGGCTCTTCAATCTAGCAAACAAAGGCATAGCAAGATTCAATGGTTGGAAGCTGAAGTTAGACTAATTCAGTCTAGAAATAAGGTTCACATTTTAATTAAAAGGGTAATTAACCCTTGGAACAATTTACTAAATATTAAGGTAGGTTCTCCCTGACCAGAAATTTTTTAATCAAGATGGGAATTTTTCTAAAGCTATGCTCTAGTTCAAGCACATCAGTTGGACTTGAGGCAGGAATTAATTCACAGAGTCTGATGGCCTGTGTTATGCAGGAGGTTAGACTAGACAATTACTAGTCACTTCTAGCCTTAAAAATCTATTAATCTAACCTCTCCAGTTTCTTCATCACAAATATGTTTTGGAATATGTTTGTGTGAATGAAAATTCAGGTCTTTTTTTTCTAATTAACATCCTGTGATAGGGACTCAGTCGGGGCGGTGGAATCTACAGGGCTGGGGAGGAATGATCTATGTTTCTGCCCCTGCATCTAGAAACACCCCTCGCTCAGCTTTGCTTCCCCTCCAACTCCACCCAATGCCACCTAGCTCCAGTTACTGTCTCTCCATTGGCTGATTGGGAGCTGAGAGCCCAACAGATTCTGGTCAGATCTCAATCCAGCAGCGAGAGGGGGCAAGGACTACCTTTGCTAATTGGCAGACAATAATTGTGGCAATTATGGAGGGTGGAGGTGAGAGCAAGACCTGGAGGGGCAGGAGTAGCTACCGTGGCACCTGGAGAGTGGGTAGGAGCTGGGGTGATTGCTCCCTCATTCAAGATGCAGCTTTGCAACCTCTGGATTCAGTGGGTGCCACTCTTCCCTCTGAGCTAATGCTGGCCCTTGCTTAAGGTTTGCTGTTAAAGCACTGGACTACTGGAGGTGCTTTAACTTGTAGTCATCTACAATCCAGTGGCACTTATGTTAAGAGCAGGGATGTAAACACTAGTGTCGACCAAATTCCAGCCCTTGTAATTACAAATCTTCTGCCTACCTAAATGGCTTCCGAAGCTTCATTTAGATACAGTATTATTCACATTTGGTCCTA